TCCACTTCAGGTCACGTGGGTCACTGAGTGTATTCCTCCGCGTACCGATTCAACTTTCTGCGCCAGTTCACTACGACTGTTAGTTAGATTGAGCGTTTATTACATCTTAGTCCCAGTGTCATTGCTGAACATTTTGTGGCTGTAGACAGCACAGGAAGACACCTCATCCCTTGTGATCCAATATCAGGTAACTGTGTTTCACAAAACCTAATGGAAATCGAAAGCACTCAACCACAACACAAATTTCGGTAGTATTTAAATATGTGAAAACTTCAATTTTCACGGCTAATTAGCCTTTATCTTGTGCGCTATTACAACATAGCGCCTGAGTTCGTTACAGTATTAAATGAAGCGTGTTTCGTTTTAAGCAACCCATTAAATGCAAGCGAATATTCACTGAAGTCATATCTGGGTTTTTGTATGCTTTGTTTAGCACATAAAGCGAACAGATGGGTTCCCTTTACCAGTGGTTGTGTTTTATTCTGCTGTTTAAGTGACTGTAGGCCAGGTAGCCTTCAAACGGAACTTCACATTCAAACTACGCTCGCTTTGGCTTTCAAGCACAACTACGCTACCTTAGTGTCGGTAGTCGTGCATGACGATCACGTGGGACGTCGCTAAAGCCTACAGGTATATTCAGAAACTCAAATATCAGTTAGTTGCTTCACATCCATGGTCACCTCCCAGCGTGCCATGCTAGTAAATAACGTTTACAAACCGCTCCTTTGACTTCCAGTTCATCAGTTTATAGCATGCAAGTATATCCTCGCTATATACACAACAGTTTATAACATACATGTATATCCTCGCTATAAACACAACAGTTTATAACATACATGTATATCCTCGCTATATACACAACAGTTTATAACATGCAAGTATATCCTCGCTATAAACACAACAGTTTATAACATACATGTATATCCTCGCTATATACACAATAGTTTATAACATACATGTATATCCTCGCTATATACACAATAGTTTATAACATATATGTATATCCTCGCTATATACACAACAGTTTATAACATACATGTATATCCTCGCTATATACACAATAGTTTATAACATATATGTATATCCTCGCTATATACACAACAGTTTATAACATACATGTATATCCTCGCTATATACACAACAGTTTATAACATGCATCTATATCCTCGCTATAAACACAACAGTTTATAACATACATGTATATCCTCGGTATATACACAATAGTTTATAACATACATGTATATCCTCGCTATATACACAATAGTTTATAACATATATGTATATCCTCGCTATATACACAACAGTTTATAACATACATGTATACCCTCGCTATATACACAACAGTTTATAACATGCAAGTATATCCTCGCTATATACACAACAGCTTATAACATGCAAGTATATCCTCGCTATATACACAACAGTTTATAACATACATGTATACCCTCGCTATATACACAATAGTTTATAACATGCAAGTATATCCTCGCTATATACACAACAGTTTATAACATGCAAGTATATCCTCGCTATATACACAACAGTTTATAACATACAAGTATATCCTCGCTATATACACAACAGTTTATAACATGCATGTATATCCTCGCTATATACACAACAGTTTATAACATACATGTATAACCTCGCTATACACACAATAGTTTATAACATATATGTATATCATCGCTATATACACAGCAGTTTATAACATACATGTATATCCTCGCTCTGTATACAGTAGTTTATACCACACATCTATACCCTCGCTATATACACAGCAGTTTATAACATGCATTTATATCCTCGCTCTATATACAGCAGTTTATAACATACACTGATATCCTCACTCTATATACAACAGTTTATAACATACACTGATATCCTCACTCCATATACAACAGTTTAAAACATACATTTATATCCTCGCTCTGTATGCAAATGTTAATAACACACATTTATATTCTCGCTCTGTATACAACAGTTTATAACATACATATATCCTCTCTATATACAGCAGTTTATAACATACACTGATATCCTCGCTCTATATACAACAGTTTATAACATACATTTATATCCTCGCTATATACACAGCAGTTTATAACATACATTTATATCCTCGCTATATACACAACAGTTTATAACATACATGTATAACCTCGCTATATACACAATAGTTTATAACATATATGTATATCATCGCTATATACACAGCAGTTTATAACATACATGTATATCCTCGCTCTGTATACAGTAGTTTATACCACACATCTATACCCTCGCTATATACACAGCAGTTCATAACATACATTTATATCCTCGCTCTATATACAGCAGTTTATAACATACATGTATATCCTCGCTCTATATACAACAGTTTATAACATACACTGATATCCTCACTCCATATACAACAGTTTATAACATACATTTATATCCTAGCTCTGTATACAAATGTTAATAACACACATTTATATTCTCGCTCTGTATACAACAGTTTATAACATACATATATCCTCTCTATAAACAGCAGTTTATAACATACACTGATATCCTCGCTCTATATACAACAGTTTATAACATACATTTATATCCTCGCTATATACACAGCAGTTTAGAACATACATTAATATCCTCGCTATATACACAGCTTTTTATAACATACATGTATATCCTCGCTATATACAGCAGTTTATAACATACACTGATATCCTCGCTCTATATACAACAGTTTATGACATACATTTATATCCTCTCTCTATATACAGCAGTTTATAACATGCATTGATATCCTCGCTCTGTATACAGCAGTTTATAACATACTTTGATATCCTCTCTCTGTATACAACAGTTTATAACACATATATCCTCGTTCTATATACAGCAGTTTATAACATATATATCCTCTCTATATGTACAGCAGTTAATGACATACATTGATATCCTCGCTTTATATACAACAGTTTATAACATACGTTTATATAATCGCTCTCCCTCTCTCTCTCTCTCTCTCTCTCTCTCTATATATATATATATATATATATATATCAGTTTATAACATACATTGATACCCTCGCTTTATATACAACAGTTTATAACATACATTTAAATCCTCTCTATATACAGCAGTTTATAACATACATTAATATCCTCGCTCTGTATACAGCAGTTTATAACATACATTTTTATCCTCTCCCTGTATATAGCAGTTTATAAAATACATTAACAACCTCGGTCTGTATACAGCAGTTTATAACATACATTAATATCCTCGCTCTATATACAGCAGTTTATAACATACATTTAAATCCTCTCCCTGTATATAGCAGTTTATAAAATACATTAACAACCTCGGTCTGTATACAGCAGTTTATAACATACATTTAAATCCTCTCCCTGTATATAGCAGTTTATAAAATACATTAACAACCTCGGTCTGTATACAGCAGTTTATAACATACATTTAAATCCTCTCCCTGTATATAGCAGTTTATAAAATACATTAACAACCTCGGTCTGTATACAGCAGTTTATAACATACATTAATATCCTCGCTCTATATACAGCAGTTTATAACATACATTTTTATCCTCTCCCTGTATATAGCAGTTTATAAAATACATTAACAACCTCGGTCTGTATACAGCAGTTTATAACATACATTAATATCCTCGCTCTATATACAGCAGTTTATAACATACATTTAAATCCTCTCTCTGTACCTGAGGCAACTTACTTCCTAACGTACCAGGAACGCTTGTGACGAGGGGGTCCTGAGATAGACATATCACCGTTTAATCTACCCTGATTTATCGATAACACACCCTCAGCTATGCGAATCACCCAAGACTACAGCTCATCTGCGTGAGATTAACCTAACTACCTAGTATATCAAATTCGCTGATTTGTCTGAATTTCTATTCAGCCAAGTTCTCAGTTGTTAATAAGAACAGAGCCTTTGACTTGCAGTATATCACCCGTTTAAGACGCTTACATTAGCATGTAAGCCCTGGTTCTGTCCGTGGTGTGTTGAGATTAATATCATGGAAGCCCATCGCCGCAATCTGTGATCACATAAAGCGACTTGCAAAGCTGAGATTCCTTGAAGTTCGGTCTTTGATGGTCTGTGGCTGACAAAGGTTACCGTTAGATCCCCACGAGGATTCTTGTAACGCTGTGTGGAGACTTCGCGACGCGACTGTCACGACTATTGTGTTGAGTCACTTCTCTTCACAGTTACGCACGAGCTCTCGACGACGTCAGTTATCGAGCCTTGGTGATCCAAGCTGACAGGCCTAGCTTCCTGTTGCAGGTTACTTTGATTGATAAAATATTCAATTTGTATGTTTTTCTTCCAACATGAATGAATCTGTAAGATTATAGTGGGCGTTGGGAACACTGCGCATTCTCTTCCTTCCCTTAAAGGCGCACTAAGCCCCCCTGTAGTGCTCGCTTAGATCTTGTCGTTGTTATTAAATCCATGTGTCAAATTAATACATTTCTCCCTTAGGTTACTTAATAAGTGCCAGATTGATATTCACTGTACATCTTAAGTGCGCAGGCACAATTAGGTGGTAAATAAATGGAATGAACGTTACTGGGACTATCTGATGTCCCCAACCTCGTGTACTTTAATGAAAAGTCTATGTCAAACATAGTTGTAACGCTTTCGAGTGAGTGAGTGAGTGAGTGAGTGAGTTGGGTTTACTTCCGCTTTCAGTGCTCCACTTGTATCCCATGTTGTTAGTATCATGTGTGAGTGAGTAAATAAGAAAACGTACAACTGTATGTATAACAAATTCTGGTTTATTGCACTAGCGCCGCGATGATAGACCATGTTTCTTACTTCAGCGACACCGAGACTCGAACCCACCATCAACCGACGCTGCAATTACTTTGTTTCTAAGAAGTAGAACCTTTTATATCTGAGTGTCTGACCAAGAATTCTAAAAACGAGAAATATTTGTGACAGTAGCTTTCTCCCCCTTCTGTTTCAGACTTAGTCCCCCTGGATCTCCTGAAAGAGGCTGTTCCAACACTTGATCACATCCCCCCTGGTGTCAGTGTAGTGTACGTCGCGAGCAGCCACACCCACGCATTCCAGTTCACGACTGAAGCCAACCGACTGGAATTCAAAGCCAACAAGATTTTTAAACGATGTGAATATTTTCCCGAGGAGTTTTCAATATTTATCGTGCTAAAACATACACAGAGACGGAAAAGACAGGAATGTTTGTTTTCCCTCGTGGATGACAGAACAAACAAAATTATTATATCAGTGAAACTCACGAAAGTTGCAATAGTGTTTCAATATGATGACAAAACGTTTCGTTTTAAAACGAACATATTCTCAGGTGATAAATGGCACACACTTGGATTCAGCATGGCGGGTGATACTGTCGTCATGACAACGGATTGCAGGAACCGGCGTCAAAGACAGGTGCGCCGGGCGTTCCCAGAATTCCTTCCAATGACAAACACTTCCTTCATTATTGGTGGATGTAAACGAAAAAGGACACTTTTTCAAGTAAGGATACGTAATTAATACATATTATTCCATATTTATTTCACTCGTCATTTGTTTTAGGATCGTGTATAACGTAAGCGCAATTTATTTTGTGAGATAGGTGATATATATTGTACAAAACCAGAATTAAATTATTTGGTGTTCTTTTAAATAACTAAGGACACCACAAATGCAAATAATTCCCCGATTGCGTGCGTGCATCTAGGACTAGTTAATTTGTAATAAAAGATTCACACCTCTTTCTCTATTTTTTCTCTCAACGCTTTTATAGACTGCCTTGACATAACGACACAGCAGTTGGTTTTTGTTTCATATTTCGACCGAATCATAATACGAGCGGAATCCAAGCTGTGTAGAACAGAACAGAAGCCAGCTATTTGTATGACAAACAACACAGAAGCTACTTATTTGTATGGCGAACAGCACAGAAGCCAGCTATTTGTATGGCGAACACAACAGAAGCCAGCTATTTGTATGGCGAACAGAACAGAAGCAAGCTATCTGTATGGCGAACAGAATAGAAGCAAGCTATTTGTATGGCGAACAGCACAGAAGCCAGCTATTTATATGGCGAACAGCACAGAAGCCGGCTATTTGTATGGCGAACAGCAAGGAAGCCAGCTATTTGTATGGCGAACAGCACAGAAGCCAGCTATTTGTATGGCGAACAGAATAGAAGCCAGCTATTTGTATGGCGAACAGAACAGAAGCAAGCTATCTGTATGGCGAACAGAATAGAAGCAAGCTATTTGTATGGCGAACAGCACAGAAGCCAGCTATTTATATGGCGAACAGCACAGAAGCCGGCTATTTGTATGGCGAACAGCAAGGAAGCCAGCTATTTGTATTCCGAACAGAATAGAAGCCAGCTATTTGTATGGCGAACAGAATAGAAGCCAGCTATTTGTATACCGAACAGAATAGAAGCCAGCTATTTGTATGGCAAACAGAACAGAAGTCAGCTATTTGTATGGCGAACAGCAAGGAAGCCAGCTATTTGTATACCGAACAGAATAGAAGCCAGCTATTTGTATGGCGAACAGAATAGAAGCCAGCTATTTGTATGGCGAACAGCACAGAAGCCAGCTATTTGTATGGCGAACACAACAGAAGCCAGCTATTTGTATGGCGAACAGCACAGAAGCAAGCTATCTGTATGGCGAACAGAATAGAAGCAAGCTATTTGTATGGCGAACAGCACAGAAGCCAGCTATTTGTATGGCGAACACAACATAAGCCAGCTATTTGTATGGCGAACAGCACAGAAGCAAGCTATCTGTATGGCGAACAGAATAGAAGCAAGCTATTTGTATGGCGAACAGCACAGAAGCCAGCTATTTGTATGGCGAACAGCACAGAAGCAAGCTATCTGTATGGCGAACAGAATAGAAGCCAGCTATTTGTATGGCGAACAGCACAGAAGCCAGCTATTTGTATGGCGAACAGCATAGAAGCCAGCTATTTGTATGGCGAACAGAACAGAAGTCATCTTTTTGTATGGCGAACAGAGCAAAAGTCAGCTATTTGTATGGCGAACAGCACAGACGTCAGCTATTTGTATGGCGAACAGCACAGAAGTCAGCTGTTTGTATGGCGAACAGAACAGAAGCCAGCTATTTGTATGGCGAACAGCACAGAAGTCAGCTATTTGTATGGCGAACAGCACAGAAGCCAGCTATTTATATGGCGAACAGCGCAGTCAGCTATTTGTATGGTGAACAGCACTGAAGCCAGCTATTTGTATGGCGAACAGCACAGAAGCCAGCTATTTGTATGGCGAACAGAATAGAAGCCAGCTATTTGTAGGGCGAACAGCAAGGAAGCCAGCTATTTGTATGGCGAACATTGGCAAGCTATCGGTATGGCGAACGGAATAGAAGCAATCTATATGTATGTCGAACACAACAGAACCAATCTATCTTATGTCGAACACAGCAGAATCAAGCCTTTTGTATGTCGAACAGAATAGAAGCAAGCTATATGTATGGCGAATAGAACAGAAGATGCTACCTGAATGGCAAACGGAATAGAAGCAATCTATCCTTATGGCGCTCAAATAGCAGCGTATATGTTCTCGGTACGCTCAACACCAACCTTCAGTCTGCCACGGAAAGTGACACTGGGGTAGATGGAAGCACGACGGTGGAGACTTCAGAGGAGGGTGACGACCCTGCAGTGCCCGTGGGCCGTCCGGGGCACATACTCCCCCCCCCCCCCCCCCCCCCCCCCCCCCCCCCCGGGGCTTCCTTTGAGGTAGTGGGATGTGTGAACACTCTAACTTGTAATTTCACGGCTTTCGAATACTGTGAACCTTGTTTAGACGCGGTGTTGCTCAATAGACATCATGTATCGGGACACCTTAAAGAACATCTGATTTAGATCACGGATAAGGCTGCTCGCGGCGCATCACGAGGTGTTGACGAAAGTGATTACTTTTTATACAATGTTTAAAGTGTGCATTTTCATAACTGACAAAACCTGGATGCTGCAGAACATTAGGTCACAGCTTGAGGCACAGTGGTTGTATTTTGGAATTGTATAGTGTCACTATCGTTGGATCGCGATGGCTTCTCCGTCTCCTAGACAGACTTACATTGACTCATGCAATAACATCAGATGATGCAGACTTGTGAAATGGAACTTTGCTTATGCGGACTAATCCGTTGTAAGTAGGTCTGACTTTACACGTGAAACGTATCTTTCCGAGATATATCTTTGATGTGTGGAAGCAAAACATTTCCAGGTTCATCTGATGGCGTGATCCTTAACAAAGGAGGTAAATGTCATGTTAATGACAATGGTGCTTATGTGTACGTACATTTATAGCCTACAGACATAATCACAGGACCCGTAGAATAGGTCTTCAGCAACCCATGCTTGCCGTAAAAAGCGACTATGCTTGTCGTAAAAGGTGACTAACGGGATCGGGTGGTCAGGCTCGCTGACTTGGGTTATGCATGTCATCGATCCCAATTTGCGTGGATCGATTCTCATGATATCAACCACTGGATTGTCTGGTCCAGACTCGATTATTTACAGACCGCCGTCATATAGTTGGAATATTGATGAGTGCGGCGTTAAACAACCAACCAACCAACCAACACAATGACAGACAGTGGTACTTTTATTATATACATTAGTTTTCAGAAGTTGAGAAAAAGTGATATTTTCATTGCAGTCAACATATCAATTGATATTTCACTGCAGTGAACATAACACTTGATATTTCACTGCTGTTGATTTAACACTTGATCTTTCACTGCTGTGAACATAACACTTTGACGGAACTATTGTCATACAAGAGTGACCTCCCCTCAAATTGTCTCCCTTTTTCGTAAGTGTCTGGTCCGTTCACAAACTGTTGACCTCATTTTTCGTTCGTTCCACATTGACAAGGCAAAATAATGACAGATGTTCATTTATATGGAGTTTATATTGCTTCTTGTCGTTTGTTATTCTCTTGAAAATGTTTCGTTATAAACTGTAAAATTATCATTTAAGTCGTCAATCGAGACTGTTCGTTTCGCAAAGCGTTTTTTTATTTATTTGACTGGTGTGTATTCTTTCCCTTCCAACAGCGATCTCGTAGCTTTTAGGAAATCTTTTTTCAGTTGAGATTGTATGTAATCATATCTACATGTATGAAACAGAATGCTCGTGACCTTAAATAGTTTTTGTTACTTTTGCTTTTCATTTTTTAAGATTTTTCAAACACGAAACTACTTTTTCAGTCGTAAATACAAAGGGTGGTGAACCGTCCTGTGTGTGATGTAGGGATAATTTACGTTTCAAGGTTTTACGTTTGTAATGAAACGATTTAACGTTCCAGCACCAACTACACAAAAGGTATATAATAAATAGGATATTCGCCACTCGTGAAAATATCTCCTTTTCCCAGTCACTTGATGAGAGAAACATGATATTTCACCATTATATAGCGTAGTGCAAGCAAAATGACAGTGGTGCTTCCTCTATATACGTACATTTATAGCGTAGAAAAAAACAATATTAACTCACTTATTTAAAAAAATATGAAAGGATAAAACATGGGGCGATTCTAAAGTTCAATCAACTTTTCTTTCAGGTATTAGTCCACAATCCGCCATTAAACTAGTTCTTCATAAATACATTTCATCTCGCCACCAGGGCTACCTCAAAGACTTGATCCTCGTCCCCGGGGCTGACGCCGTGGCCAAAGTGTGTCCCCCCAAACGACACCGCAGGATGGACAACACAGTAACGACGTTCCCACACGCATACGAACAGTCGCCATTTTGGCCCCAGAGGGTGCAGTGCTCGTGGAGTGACGTTGGCAACCTCGCTTTCGATGTATATTCTGACAAGGTCAAGGTCTGTGTCAATGGAATATGGAAGGAAGTGAACATTCAAACGGGTGAGGTTGTAGTTAAGCTGGTCAGATGTACGGTAGTGACGATAAAGCAGCATACCCCAAGAATGTGTGACAGATCTATACATTATTAATTGATCAATATCTGAACAACGCAGTTTCTGACACTTATCGAATAGTTCATTGATGAACTACTCGACTACTGACAACAAATTTCGCTGAAAATGTATTTGTGACGGAAACGATGGCATTTAATTGAATTTTGTTGTTTGTATAGCGTCACTGTAATTCCCATTAAAGAGTCAAAGTGTATATGAATATTCGCCTTGCATCTACTGTACGAGGGTACATTTACAGCGGCCGATGTATACCCCTGATTTTCCCTCACTCACTCAGTCACTCACTCTCTCACGGTGACAGCTGTATGTTGCTATGATTACCGTGACATCTGTATGTTGCTATGATTACCGTGACACCTATATGTTGCTGTATGATTACCGTGACTCCTGCATGTTGTTGATTATCGTGACACCTATATATTGCTGTATGATTACCGTGACATCTGTACGATTATCGTGACACCTGTATGTTGTAGTATGATTACCGTGACTCCTGTATGTTGCTGTTTGATTATGGTGACACCTATATGTTGCTGTATGATTACCGTGACATCTGCACGATTATCGTGACACATGCATGTTGCTCTCCAGGTAAGAAGAAGCTGGATTACTTTGAGGCCTACCACGACGTTCAGACGCCGGCCGCTTCCATCGACGTGGAGGTGTTCACGCTACTGGGGGAGGGGCTGTTCGCCGTGTTCGCCGGGCAGGCGGGGGAGGGGGACTCTGCGTTGTTCAAGTGGGTGGAGAATCAGTTCACCTTCTACCAGAAGCTGGAGACTGAGGCGGCACAGAGTTGGTGCCACTTCACTATCAAGAATCAAGTAAGGGCAGACAACTCATTTCAGTTTTTAAATATTCTCTTATTGGAGGGAATAGGCCAATCCTAGTACTGACTCTGTGACAACCATTGCCACCTGATAAATATTTAGCTGGACAAGAATGCAAAATGTAACAACATCGCTAAAGAGGGTTGACTCATTGATCCGTAATTTCGAAGCAAAGAATATTCCAATTGTCTGATTTTACATGAAGTGGGTCGAGTTGTCTCTGCAAAATGGTCTGCCGCTCTGGGTACAGTTCAGATATGGAGTACAATCCAAGTCCCCAAAAGGACCAGAACTCTCTGGTGTTGCTGGGCTGTTCATGATAAAACCACATAACTATCAAGAGCGGATCCAGCATTTTTAAAACGGAGGGTTCCAAACTTTCAAAATCCTCTCAGATAATTTTACTGCCTACATTTGATTTTCAGGGAGGGGATAGCTGACACCCCTCCCCCGCCGACCTTTTGCTGAGTAATATCTCAATGCGTGCATGGGGTCGACCGCTGCATGTTTTTCTAGGGCAATCCAGTGCGTGACGTATTTATTTCATTTTCAGTTTTTCCTTGCAGTAGCCAATTACGGCAGTTCCCCCGACCAGGCGTCCAACTCCACCGTGTACCGCTGGCACAAGAAGAGGAAGAAGTTTAAGCCGTACCAGACCTTCGTCACGTGGACGGCACGCGACTTTGAATACTTTAAGATTGACGGCCAACACTACCTCGCCGTCGCTAACCACGCACAAGGTCGGTGGAGTTGCCAAGCACGCTGGGTAGTTTTAGGGGAATGTCTTCAAGAACATCACGATATTCGGTTGTTTTTATAATTACGTGTGTATGATAATGTGTGACGGGTAAGGACAAACTAATAATTGATACGCTTGCCTCCTAACTTATAATATGACAAGTGTGTCCTTGTAATATGAGGGAACGATTGTTTTTGCTAGAAGCTAGAGTTTTGAGACCGCCTCCGTGGTCTAGTGGTACAGCGTCTGTCCGGAGAGGGGGAGGCCGGGGTTTCGATCCCCGGCCACGTCATTCCAAAACACGTTACCCTGCCTGTGCTCGGCATCCGTCCGGACTAGTACCAGCAGCCACACACACACACACACGTGTATGCACGTCGCTTTATAAGTGCAATAATCTTGGACGCGACGTTAAACCCCATTTCCGCTCACCTCATCTAAAGCTTTGAAAGACGTGCTACCGGGGGAGCTGGGGACCGCCGTTAAAAGCTTGTTTAATGGGTTATCACATTGACGTCGCTTTTCTTAAGAGGCTACTAACGGTACTTGATGCGTGTCACCGTATCCCATTTGCTTAGACCGATTCTCATGAATCACTGGATTGTCTGGTTCAGACTTAATTATTCACAGACCGCCGTCATATCGCTGTGATATTTGCTGAGTGCGGCGTTAAACAATGAGCAAACAAAACCATTGACGTCGTTGACTTCAATCCGTCAGTAACGTCCTGCGCTTCTCTACAGGCGACAACACCATGGTCGACTCTGTCATCTACAAGTGGGACTTCAGTCAACGTAATTTCACAGAGTTCCAGTCAATTATGACGGTCGGGGCTTACGACTGGACGCATTTCGTTGTCAACGACTTCCACTTCATCGCTATCGCCAACGCCTTCAACGGCCTCACCACCCTCATCGACTCTGTCATCTACTTTTGGCAAAACGACCGCTTCGTTCAGTTCCAGACGATGGAGGTATGGAGTCTCGAGTGGGGTTAGGATGGGTAGTGCTGGGTACTGCTGGGTAGTGCAGGGTAGTGCTTGGTAGTGCTGGGTAGTGCAGGGTAGTGCTGGGTACTGCTGGGTAGTGCAGGGTAGTGCTGGGTAGTGGAAGGTGATTGTCTTTATCCATCATTAGATGGACATTTTACGTTCGCTTCAACCAGGTCTATTAATTTTGCTCTAAAGGGGCAGTGACTCGGGGGAACTCGGACATAACTTAAATCTCCAATTATTGTAAGAGATTTTAGTTAAGATAAGATGCATGTAAACGATTGCTAGGCGCCTGACCCGTAACCCGTTTTGTGTTTGTTGGTAACATGGAATGACTGGCCACAGCACGCTGACCTCTAATTCTGACAGTTTCCAGGATGTCAATAGCCCGGACGCTGCGTCGCTAGTTCATACACAAACAATGAATGAAATCAAATACATCACAAGCGTGTTATAAACACTGACAGTAATAATGGTACACAGAGATTAATCGACCTTCCTTAATTGTCTCTAAATTAGGAATGCCACCTACGCACGTGTGTGGCGCTACTGCGTGAGGCACGTGCAAACTTAGGATGTGTTTTAGTGTTCCGTTTTACAGGCACAAACGTTCTTGCATAGGGTAAGTGAGTGAGTAAGTGAGGTTTTACGCCGCTTTTAGCAATAGTCCAGTAATACCACGGCGGGGGATAACAGAAATGGGCTGCACACATTGTACCCATGTGGGAATCGAACCCTGGTCTTCGGCGTGACGAGTGAACGCTTTTACCACTAGGCTACCCAACCGCCCTTCTTGCATGGATTGTTTGTCATCAACACTTATCTTTGTTCTAATACTTGGCATGCACATTTATGTTTCATTATCCCTACTACTGTAATGTAAGGTTGGACTAAGGTGAGGATTCTCCTGCAAACCTGACGACAGAGGACATTTTCTTTAGATATACATCCACTGATGCTTGAGAGGAGGGGAGTGTCGCATTCATATTGAGTCGCATGCTTGGCTAGGGGCCAGTGGTCGCATTCTTTTAGAGACGCATTAATTTCACGATTTACAGTATTTATGAGGAGTGTATTATCAGTATTTTTAAAAAGATGAATTTTCTGTAATTCAGTAGCATCTGATATGATTTGAACTATCTCTAAGGTTGAACTCGTCTTTGATATTTACCATTTTGAAACACGAGCTCGAGCTACGACAGATTTCGGTAATCTTCCACGAGGGGCTTTCAACGTTAATTCACGAAGGACTGATCACCCGAGTTCCGTTGAAAAAAATGTTGACAAAACTTCATATAAAGTCTTCTGTTGCGTGAAGAACAATGATAGACAACACCTTCAATTAGCTGCCACAATGGGTCTCTTCACATTTATAGCCATCTTAGCAAACAAAGACCCCCAGGCTTGCTCTAGCCATCACCGATTTGTCAGAGAGAACCTATAACTCCCCCATGTCTACAGACTAACGGTGCCACAGACTGGGAGTTCTTCAGCATCGACGGCGACCACTTCCTGGCTGTAGCCAACGCTTACAACTACGGTCCCCAGAACTACAAAGACGTGGATACATTCTACACTAACTCCACCATCTACAAACTAAACAGGCAGAAGAGAGTGTTCGAGAAGTTCCAGATAGTCCCCACATACAGGTGCGTGTATATATGTCCTGTCTCGTGATAGTCCCCACATACAGGTGCGTGTATATATGTCCTGTCTCGTGATAGTCCCACATACAGGTGCGTGTATATATGTCCTGTCTCGTGATAGTCCCCACATACAGGTGCGTGTATATAAGTCCTGTCTCGTGATAGTCCCACATACAGGTGCGTGTATATATGTCCTGTCTCGTGATAGTACCACATACAGGTGCGTGTATATATGTCCCGTTTAGTGATAGTTCCCACATACAGGTGCGTGTATATATGTCCTGTCTCGTGATAGTACCACATACAGGTGCGTGTATATATGTCCCGTTTAGTGATAAATCCCACATACAGGTGCGTGTATATATGTCCTGTCTCGTGATAGTACCACATACAGGTGCGTGTATATATGTCCCGTTTAGTGATAAATCCCACATACAGGTGCGTGTATATATGTCCTGTCTCGTGAAAGTCCCACATACAGGTGCGTGTATATATGTCCTGTCTCGTGAAAGTCCCACATACAGGTGCGTGTATATATGTCCTCTTCCAACATAAAGGTGTGTAAATATTTGTCCTATGTTAGTGCATATTCTGTGTTTCAGTGCAATAGACTGGGAGTATGTCCGGGTGGGCGGCGACCATTTCTTGGTGGTGTCTAACGCCCAGAACGGGGGCGAGGGCGAGGAGTTGGCGAGCGTGGTGTACAGATGGCAGGGGCTGGACAGATTCGTCCCCGTACACAGGCTGAAGACGCTGCCGTCGGCCGACTGGGAGACGTTCACCCAGGGGGAGGACATCTATCTCATATACGCTAATGCAAAGGAATCTACCTCACAGATCATCAAGGCCAAGTTCACGTAGTCATGAATATTCATGAACAGAAGTATCAAAACAAGAGCAACTGTACTGCGACTCATTTGCTGGAAGGGTCAAAGTGACTAAGAGTTACGCTGCAACTGATTTACAAATAACTCAAACTGCGTCACATTCCATTCTTCAAGTTCTACATGTCAACTATTCGTTACAATAATTGTTCACCACACAAACTGATCACCACATAAACTGTTCGACACATCAACCGTTCACCACATGAACTGATCATCCCATAATCTGCTCACCACATAAGCTGTTTGACACATAAACTGTTCACCACATAATCTGTTCGACACATCAACTGATAACCACATTAGCTGTTCGACACATGAACTGTTCGACACATAAACTTATCTCCTCATGAACTGTTCGACACATAAACTTATCTCCTCATGAACTGATCACCACATGAGCTGTTCGACACATAAACTGTTCACCACATAATCTGTTCGACACATCAACTGATAACCACATTAGCTGTTCGACACATCAACTGTTCGACACATAAACGTATCTCCTCATGAACTGATCACCACATTAGCTGTTCGACAAATATACTGTTTAACGCATAAACTGTTCACCACATAACCTGATATCAACATAAGCTGTTGGACAAATAAACTGTTCGACACATCAACTGTTCACCACTTAACTATACGACGCATAAACTGTTCACCTCATTACCTGATCACCACATAAGCTGTTCACAACATCAACTGTTCGACACATAAACTATTCACTACATAAACTGTTCGACACATAAACTGTTCACCACATAAACTTTCGACAAATAAGCTGTTCACCACATCAATTGTTCGAAACATCACATAAACTGATCACCACATGAACTGATCACCACATAAGCTGTTCGACACATCAACTGTTCTACAGTTAACTTATCACCACATTAGCTGTTCGAAAAATAAGCTGTTCACCACATCAGTTGTTCGACACATCACATAAACTGATCACCACATGAACTGATCACCACATAAGCTGTTCGACACATCAACTGTTCGACACATTAACTGATCACCACATAAACTGATCACCATATAGGCTGTTCGACACATCAACTGTTCAATGCATTAACCTTTCCTATTATCAAGTGCCCGTTGTATAGACGGTTCAACGTATCAATAGTTCTATGTTTGAACTGCCAAATGCCTCAACTGTGCGCTGCATCAACAATGCCCCACTGCATCAACTGTGCGCTGCATCAACAATGCCCCGCTGCATCAACTGTGCGCTGCATCAACAATGCCCCGCTGCATCAACTGTGCGCTGCATCAACAATGCCCCGCTGCATCAACTGTGCGCTGCATCAACAATGCCCCGCTGCATCATCTGTGCGCTGCATCAACCATGCCCCGCTGCATCAACTGTGCGCTGCATCAACAATGCCCCGCTGCATCAACTATGACCCGCTGCATCAACCATGCCCCGCTGCATCAACTGTGCGCTGCATCAACCATGCCCCGCCGCATCGTGTGGCATTGTGACCATTGCAATTCCAACACAGCGTGCACATGTATCCCGTTGTTGAAACAAAGACAGTCGCCAACCTCCCTTGTTGAGGCTAGAGATGCTAGAACAGAGAAATACACATTCCAACTGTGACATAACACTATGTATATGATATCATGTGATATATATTTCAATGTTATCTGTTTAATATATCCTCCTCGGATCTAGTGCTGATAATCATGTTATTCACGGCGTAATGCTATCGTGACGTTTACACTTTATTCTATATGTTTATTTATGTTTCCCCCTACCTTGTACCGAGTGGGGGGGAATGTGTGGCATATACAGTCCACTGTCTCTACGGTCAGTGTCAGACAAGTCTCTCCTACTGTTCATGGCGTCCCCAGTTTATACGTCCCCATAGAATGACCTGTTATTTATGACACGGGCGTATCACGCCTGTCCTTTGATTGATGTTGATTGTCTGTATGTGTATCTGTGTAGTAAGTAAATAAAGAAAGATTGTGTGATTCATCTGCATTGCATAGAAATTAGAAAACTCCACCCCTTCGTTGACAACACGCGCCGTTCCAGTTGATGGCCATCAGTCACGTGACACATGGAGGACAGTCGACAGACTATTTTTGACCAATTGTCTCCATCAGAATATGTTCTTCCATCTATGACAATGGTCCCTAGCAAAACAGTTCCGCTGGTGAAACACTCCTTAAATGTTAAATGTGACATTCAGTTTATTTTCCAATATGGGTGAAGACAAATACAATATGGCCGCTTCGGAAGAACACCGTATATGTTACTATTCAACAAGGCTTATGAGTGCCAAAGAATTCATATTGAGTGATAATTGAGACAATAAGGCAGTAACGGTATTTTACAGCCGCATCGGTAAGTGTGGTACGGCGCCTTCGGTAACTGTTTGCGATATTACTTGTCTTAATGATATATACTCGTCAAATAAAGAAACGCATAACCACATTTTACGGTGTTTGAAGTAACACAAGTTTACACTACATCTGAACACATGACCAGTGTTATTAGTGTAAACAGGACAACAGTAGACACGTGTAAAACATCAAGACATTACATGAAAACTGGCAAAGGTTTAGGACACGCGAACAGGTACTGCCTGGGACATCTTGTTCATAAACGAAAGGAGAAATCGGATCCAACTCGTCACATATGTGCTCTATCAGGCTCAGATCTGGCGTTTAGTAGTCACGGAAGGGCCTTACATTGATGCTGCGGTTACACGTGCTGTGTGCGGTCCAGCCTGTCCTGCTGCAACCAGGGGATCAGGTGAGGGGCACCAAAACATGTAGAAAGCGATCGCAGCGCTTAAGTTCCATACCTTGATGCAGATTTACAACAGTCGTAGCTAAGGTGATCGTAGCCCCCATACCTTGACATAGACCTACGACACTCGTATTTAAAGTGATCGCAAGTCCCATACCTTGACAGAGACCTTCGACACTCATAGCTAGAGTGATCGCAAGTCCCATACCTTGACAGAGACCTACGAAACTCATAGCTAAAGTGATCGCAAGTCCCATAACTTGACAGAGACCTACGACACTCGTAGCTAAAGTGATCGCAAGTCCAATACCTTGACAGAGACCTACGACACTCGTAGCTAAAGTGATCGCAAGTCCAATACCTTGACCTAGACCTACGACACTCATAGCTAAGGTGATCGAAGGTCCCATACTTTGACAAAGACCTTCGACAGTCGTAGCTAAGGTGATCGTAGCCCCCATACCTTAACAGGGACCTACGAAGTCGTAACATTAAGGTTGCTTTTTACAACGGCTCTGAGGGACCCATCCGCTACCACAGCCTCGTTTTGATCACGATCCGAACAACACGATGCCAAACTAGTCAGTCAAATTGGAGTAAACGTGGTGACGTCACCGAAACGAAGATGTGTGACGAATGGTTGCGGGTGTATTTCACAACAGAAAATCGAGGATGGTGACGTCGCCATTTGAACTGGTCCTGGGATGTAGGCCACGTGACGTACCATGCCGTACCAACCAACGTCACAGTAGGTGAACAGACGTCAGCTTACAACTTTGACTATGGAATTGGTGAGCTGACGTCATCTGTACGACATTGACGTTGGAGTTGGTGAGCTGACGTCATCTGTACGACATTGACGTTGGAGTTGGTGAGCTGACGACATCTGTACGACATTGACGTTTGAGTTGGTGAGCTGACGACATATGTACGGCATTGACGTTGGAGTTGGTGAGCTGACGTCATCTGTACGGCATTGACGTTGGCGTTGGTGAGCTGACCTCATCTGTACGGCAATGACGTTGGAGTTGGTGAACTGACGTCATCTGTACGACATTGACGTTGGAGTTGGTGAGCTGACGACATATGTACGGCATCGACGTTGGAGTTGGTGAGCTGACGTCATCTGTACGGCATTGACGTTGGCGTTGGTGAGCTGACCTCATCTGTACGACAATGACGTTGGAGTTGGTGAACTGACGTCATCTGTACGACATTGACGTTGGAGTTGGTGCTCGAAGTACTTATACGACTCAGGATGTCGTCATGTTTGACGACACACAAAGGTATACACGAACACTGTCTATAGCAGTGGTAGAAACTAACATTTTTCGTCCGCTAGTCCTCATAATGATAACATATAGCAAAACCCTTAAAAAGGGCAAATTTCTATAAGTCTTTATGAAACCTTAACTAAAGGGCAGTTTGGCAAGCACTACATGACTAGTGCTAATTTCTAACGCTGTTATAGGACACTGACGTATAACGCCCATCTAGATATTTGATTCTGATACAGATGTAGCCCTTTCCGCTAGCCAAGTAAGCTTTCAAAGTTAACATCAATACGAATTAACGCACACCTCAAACTCACTACTCATGTGTTGCAGTTTCGGTATTCGTTTTTATTGGATATTGCTAATACTGTGGCCGCCCTTTGAAAACCTCGCAACTCAACCATCTATAGCTTCTACCCGAGTATGGGAACAATGTAAAACCAAACTCACTCACTGCCCCAAATGACCCGAATCCTCCTGACCCCGTCCCGCCATATGGGTAACGGTGCTTCCTAGTGGTTAAAGCGTTCCCTCGCCACGCCGAAGAAACGGGTTCGATTCCCCACATGGGTACAAAGTGCAAAGCCCATTTCTGGTGTCCCTCGCCCTGATATCGTTAAAACACATTGCAAAAAGCAGAGTAAAACCACACTTTTACTCACTCACTCACTCACGACAGTCGCTCAGTCTAGACTCTCTCCCAGACCCTAGAGAATAAAATTGAAAAAGAAGTCAAAGTCTAGAATCATTTGGCAAGTCGAGATTGCTTCAGCTCTAGGAAATTAAGGATTTTTCTATGCTCCATATGGATTTTATTATTTATATTTTGTACATTTTTATATAAATTTTTATTTCTGGGACTAAATATCAGTCTAAGTGTAGACACACACGTTACTTGAACACCAGCCTTTGTTCCTCCAGAGCACGAGTGGCGATGTAGCTGTCAGTACCGAGTCCTTACTACAAGGTACCATGATGCATAGATGTCATTACATAAGGTCCTCCGGATGTAGCATACGGTCACATGACACCCGTCACGCATGCGGCATCTAACATCCCACCTCAGCTGTGAAAGTACACGGCCGTGTTTGTGAACATCAGTGCGTTATACTGCGTTACGCCGGACACAGGATGAATTGATGAGGATGTGGAGAGATGACCGACTGATACCAATTAATATGTGTCTGCAGAGATCAAAGACAGTACTGATGGTCGAAATGAAGTTATTAATCGATTTGGGGGAGTCAGTTATTATTGGGTTTATCATATATTCAAACAACACTTCTTAAAACACCTAATCTGGATCACGACTAGGTTTTATTATCTGACACTGATTTGAGAAGACCATATATGTGACAGCGTGTCAGCGTCATGTGACGGCATCATGTGGGAGGCATGTGACGGCGTCATGTGGGAGGTACGTGACGCTGTAAGTAAGATACGGGTAAGGTGCTGGTAAGATACGGGTAAGGGTCTGGTAAGATACGGGTAAGATGCTGGTAAGATACGCGGGTAAGGTGCTGGTAAGATACGAGAAAGATGCTGGTAAGATACGGGTAAGGTGCGGGTAGGATACGGGTAAGGTGCTGGTAAGATACGTGTACGGTGCTGGTAAGATACGGGTAAGGTGATGGTAAGATACGGGTAAGGTGCTGGTAAGATACGAGAAAGGTGCTGATAAGATACGGGTAAGGTGCTGGTAAGATACGTGTAAGGCGCTGGTAAGATACGGGTAAGGCGCTGGTAAGATACGGGTAAGGTGCTGGTAAGATACGGGTAAGGTGCTGGTAAGATACGGGTAAGGCGCTGGTAAGATACGGGTAAGGTGCGGTTAAGATACGGGTAAGGTGCTGGTAAGATACGGGTAAGGTGCTGGTAAGATACGGGTAAGGTGCTGGTAAGATATGGATAAGGTGCGCGTAAGGTGCTGTTAAGATACGGGTAAGGTGCTGGTAAGATACGGGTAAGGCGCTGGTAAGATACGGGTAAGGTGCTGGTAAGATATGGATAAGGTGCTGGTAAGATACGAATAAGGTGCTGGTAAGATACGGGTAAGGTGCTGGTAAGATACGGGTAAGGTGCTGGTAAGATACGGGTAAGGTGCTGGTAAGATATGGATAAGGTGCTTGTAGGTAATGGATAAGGTGCTGGTAAGATACGGGTAAGGTGCTGGTAAGATACGGGTAAGGTGCTGGTAAGATATGGATAAGGCGCTGGTAAGATACGTGTAAGGTGCTGGTAAGATACGGGTAAGGTGCTGGTAAGATACGGGTAAGGTGCTGGTAAGATACGGGTAAGGTGCTGGTAAGATACGGGTAAGGTGCTGGTAAGATACGGGTAAGGCGCTGGTAAGATACGGGTAAGGTGCTGGTAAGATACGGGTAAGGTGCTGGTAAGATACGGGTAAGGTGCGGTTAAGATACGGGTAAGGTGCTGGTAAGATACGGGTAAGGTGCTGGTAAGATACGGGTAAGGTGCTGGTAAGATACGTGTAAGGTGCTGGTAAGATATGGATAAGGTGCGGGTAAGGTGCTGTTAAGATACGGGTAAGGTGCTGGTAAGATACGGATAAGGTGCTGTTAAGATACGGGTAAGGTGCTGGTAAGATACGTGTAAGATACGTGTAAGGTGCTGGTAAGATACGGGTAAGATACGTGTAAGGTGCTGGTAAGATACGGGTAAGGTGCTGGTAAGATACGTGTAAGATACGTGTAAGATACGGGTAAGGTGCTGGTAAGATACGTGTAAGATACGTGTAAGGTGCTGGTAAGATACGGGTAAGATACGTGTAAGGTGCTGTTAAGATACGGGTAAGGTGCTGGTAAGATACGTGTAAGATACGTGTAAGGTGCTGGTAAGATACGGGTAAGATACGGATAAGGTGCTGGTAAGATACGGGTAAGATACGTGTAAGGTGCTGGTAAGATATGGATAAGGTGCGGGT